CATTTACCTCAATACCCTTAAAGAACCCAATTATTAAATAATGTAAATAAGTGTTTTTTCCTAGAATACAATCATTTAATGACTCAAATAAATCGAAATATATATCTGTAGTAAATCACCAATTTACCTTATCATTACTACAAAATCCAGTAAAATTTACTTGCCAATTCCCGTAACTTTTAAGTGATGCCAATTTGAAGATCATTGGAAAGTCCGATCAAATTTTCGTGAAAATCAATTGATTTCTATGTGAAAATATCTACGTGCCTTTTCAGGTGAATTTTAAGTAACTTTTTTTTTGTAGTGTAGGCTTGAACAACTCTCAAGATCTCAATGAAAATAGCCAGAATATTAAAAGTAGAACATTTTTCGAAATATCTGAAAATTTATGATAGGTCTATGTTCGAGATAAAAAAAAAATCAAAATATTAGATTCCGTCAACAGTTAACGTTTCCATATGTTTGCAACTCTTCTTGTCAGATTTTATTTGGGTTTTTAAAGTCAAATTCTTGACTCTCAACATTGGTCGTAAAAAGTGACTTTAGTGACTAAATTTTAATGAATAGTGACTTTAGTGACTTTTTGAAGAAAAAAACTTGAACTTGAAAATAGTGACCAAGTCACTAAAAAGTGACCTGCTACCAGCCCTGAAAATCTAACACTGCTTCTTGATTCTAAATTCGTTCTACGAGTTTCAATTCCGTCCTAACGCATTGAAACGCTATTAGATTTTCTTCGTTCTACAGATAAACGTAGAAGAAGAGGATTCGCTAGGAGCGCTTCTTTTGTTTTGAGAACAATGAGCGTAAATATTCATACAATGCGCTCTAACAGGATTTATGTTGTAGCTAATGAACTAACGCATCAGAACAAACCTATTATTGATTAAAGCATGGTGAAATCATTGATATTATTGATCTTTTCTGATCGATAGAACGGAAATGGGCGATTACGACGAAGTAGCGCTCTACCATAGAGGTAACTCTAAGACCAGAAGGTCCCGAAGAAACGAGCTCAACTTTTTGGCTCAGCTCTGGTACTATCTTCGGTCCCAAGCTAATCGATTCACCCCTCGAAACATAGGAAAATACACTAACCCCTCATTTTATCTGTCAAACTTTCATAGCGAATCAAAACAAACATAGTGTAGTACTAGAATTTCGACTAGAATGGGGTACGTTAATCGTTTGCTTGGGACCAATAGGCTAGTCAAGCAGTGAGCCAATTTAAAATCGTTAGTTTCGTATTGATTGTTGGCTCTACCCTATCATGGTTTTTTGGAAGTGAACCTTGCAAATAATGGGTTGTTAAGAACCATTACCAGTCCAAATTCTTGTTTTCTCCATACATTGTTGGGAAAGGAATTAGCTGTATTCAAATGTTATACGATATGAGGAAATCTTTACTTAAACTCTATACAAACAAATCTGGCGAATTTAGTCAGCTACTTATGGCTGTTGTGACGGTTGGGACAAGCTCTTATTGCATATCTATTTACGCTTCTATTCAGCTGTTATCCTGCTGTTTAGTTGTGTGTGAACTTGAAGGGCGCTTATACTAAACCTTTACCCGATTTATCCAATAATCACTACACAGCTTTCTCTTGACGCCAGGTTGAATATTGTTTACGCTTTTTGTTTTGTTGGAGGAATTTACCATGTGTATTTTACCGCGAATCAAATTAATCGAAATTAGTTTAAGCACACCATCAAATTATTTACGCTGGAATCGAACTCGAGACGACGAACCTTGATGCTGCCAACTTCGCTACGCCAACACTTTGAACTGACGTGAACAAGTTAATATGCCCTTCTACAACAAGATTGCTGAGTAGAGGCTTTATAATAGTGCACATGAATCACTTTTCTCGACTAGTTAATTCAGCTTTGTAAAAGAGCAGAGTAAAAGCTGTACAACTACACAAATCTTAAAATAAACCTAGTTGACTGTAATATAACTTTCAAAGTAGCGCTAACACAGTTTACTAGTTGAGTACAGGTTGTTTAGTTGTTGAAAAAGCACTTTTGATGTTTATGTTATTCAGCAAGAGTGATTTGTTGTGTAGAAGCCATCAAATGAGTAATATATTCGCTTTAAAGGGTGTCCACGATGAAATTGCCACACTATGAAATTGCTCTTACTTTTTAACCGTTGGCTAGAATTTAATGAAAATTTGGGTGGATTTAGTTCATAGTGCATTATTTACATCCTGCAAGTTTTAAAGTCCTGTGATCAAAACTCGCGGAAATGGAGTCGAAAGAACAGCTCGTGCGTGATAAAATCTTGCGCATTCATCACGAGAACAAGGATCTCTCGCATCGTTCCATCGCTAAAACGTTGGGAATCGCGAATTCCACGGTGTCGCGAGTGATTAAGCGGTTCGAGGAACGGTTGACCACCGATCGGAAGCCCAGAAGTGAAGGAAAAAGTATTCCGTACAACACCAAAAATCACAACCGCGTAGTTGGGGCCTTCAACCGAAATCCGAACGCCTCCGTTAGGGATGTGGTTAAGAAGCTGCACCTAAGCCGAAGTTTTGTCCAGAAGGCCAAAACTAAGGCTGGGCTTCGAACGTTCAAGGTACAAAAGGCCCCTAATCGCGACGAGAAGCAGAACAAGTCCGCCAAAACCCGTGCCAGGAAGTTGTACCTCAACATGCTGACGAAAGTTGAATGCTGCATCATGGACGACGAAACATATGTGAAGGCCGACTTCAAACAGATCCCCGGCAACCTGTTTTTCACGGCCAAGGATAAGTTCAGCGTTCCGGAGATGTCCAAATTTGCGAAGAAATTCCTGGTTTGGCAAGCCATCTGCACGTGCGGGAAGCGGAGTGCACCTTTCGTGACCCAGGACACGATGAACGGACAGGTGTACATAAAAGAGTGCCTCCAGAAGCGGCTTCTTCCTCTCCTGAAGGCCCACAACGTCCCAACAATCTTCTGGCCGGATTTGGCCTCATGCCACTACTCCAAGGACGTGCTGAAGTGGTATGCGAACAATAAGGTCAATTTCGTGCCGAAAATGTTCAACCCTCCCAACACTCCGGAGCTCCGCCCCATCGAGAAGTACTGGGCGATTATGAAGCAGCACCTTCTTAAACGACCTAAGGTAGTGAAGACAGTCGAGGAACTGAAGAAAGTATGGGTTTACATGCAAAAAACGGTTGATTCACAGGTTGTGCAGAATCTTATGGCCGGGGTTAAGGCCAAGGTGCGGGCATTTGCGTATGGACTGTAAATAAAATACGAGTAAAATGGTAAAATGAAGTTTAATAGTTATTTCTCAATCCCTGAAAATTTGATGGCAATCGGATGAAAACTCGAATTTTGCGAATCAATTTTGTGTGTGGCAATTTCATCGTGGACACCCTTTATTAGCTTTGTTTTGAAGCTTTAAGTTGAAAGTTGATTAATAGATTAATAGTTGCATAGAAGTGAAATTAGCGTTGTGACGAAGTTGAGTAAACGCTCTCCAAAACAATTTTGCTAGCTTCTGCTTATAGCTGTATCTGCAGCTTTGTTTCAGCTACTTTACAGCACAACGCTGGAAAAGTTGTCTTATAAAGCTGAAAATGTTAGTTGGGTAGTTGGTTAATTAATGGCACCAAGAAATTTGCAAAATATTGCGATGCAATCAATTATTATTTTGCACGTAAATCGAATCAAAAATAAAAGTAATGTGAAATGCTGGTTTCAAAATAATTTAGGTACAAATCCCTGCCAATGTGGTCCAAGGCACTCAATTTTGTTATTGATCTTGTTATCGAATTTGGAAGTAATGTGAAGTGTTGCATGATAGGTTTTATTTCTTCCATGTCAGAATTAGGTCCATGTTCCATATACCCTGGAACTTGTTCCGGCCATATCTCCGGAACCAGTTGACCGATTCCAAAAATATTCGATAGCTTTCAATGGGACCACAATACCGACGTTAAAAATTTTCCAAATCGGGTCAATGATTTCCGAGAAAATGAGCCATGATGAATAGCTAATGCGTGGAAAGTCAACTTTTTTAAAAACAAATTTCTTGATTTTTTTAAATAGCAAATTCATAAAAACTGTATAAAAAGGGTTTTTTCATGATACCAATAAGCTTTAAACAAAGTTTTTGAACAAATATGGGCTAAACTAGCATTTGCAAAAATAAATAGGTCCAACCATCATCATTTTTTAGTTCCAAACAACATCATAATTCTTTGCTGAATAAAAACGTTTTATAAAATCATTTGTTCATAATATTTAACTTTTTATGTTATTATTAGAAGCAAGAAAGGTAGATCTTTCCCCTAATCATGCATTTTTCATAATTATATGTTGAAATCATAAAAAAATACGACATGAATGTTGACGTCGTGTGAAACCGGCCTAAATATGTCCAACCAACATCAGTTACCCTAACACCAGTTCCAACCCAGTACGAAACCGAACTTTTTGTCAGTGTGAACCTCAACCTGAGCTAGGTTTTAAAAACAAACGAGCAAACTGACGTTTGTCAGAAACCAAGCAGGCCCAATCTTGATACCCGATCCAGGTTGGAACTGAATAATAAACGAACTCGCTATTAGTGTGAATAATCATTGACTGTGTCCGATCTGCGTCTCTGGTGATTGTGTATAACTTATAAAAATGTGTATTACGCTTTAAGTCAGTTTCAACGTAAACGCATCCAATAAAAAAAACAAAAACAACCGGTATTCATCATCCGTTAAGGGAAGCAAGGAAAAAATAACACCATTGTACATACTTACATTCGCAAGCTGAGCCAGGTTTCTGAACCGTGCTGTACCTTATTCCGGATAGTTTGAATTCAGAATTAAATTGCTCAATCTATTTGTGATGAATGTTAAAGAACGTCTTAAAAATATTCCTATTTTATCACCCTCAATTCAGATTGATTTTCAGTCCACTACGGTAGCAATTCACACCGCGTGAAGCTCATATGGTTTGCCCTAGTCATTCACATCGACTGCCATCAGTTGATCTTGGTTACGAGCTTGTGTAACATCTACCTTTGTCGTTCATGGCTGTTTCACATTTGAATACAGAAATATTCGAATTATTTTCTCAATTGTAAAGTGCATCCTTCAATTCTTTCTGGCCATGACTCCTACGAAGGATGAAAGAAGAGTTCTGGAATCAGTTATTGGTATTATCCAATATTGACTATGCTCAGTTCATTCGGAAATTGATTTCAAGTGAGATTATTTTTGTTCAACTACAGGCAAAGAAGTGCATTACATTGAAGCTTTGGTCAACGATGGAGCAAATATCCCGATCGACGTTGATGTTGGCAGCTACGAAATTCATCTACCGCCTTGGTATGACGAGGAAAAATTTAAGCGGTAAACAGCTTAACTGAATTAGAATTTTCCAAACACACGTTATGGCTGTTGAAATCGTTCAATTGCAGTGGTCAACAGTTTTTCCAGGAAAATCTGTCCGCGGTGGTAACGGCCGGATTTTGCGGCCTAATTTCGGTGCTCGCCATTCCTTCGATATTGGAAGTGCTGATATTCACCCAGCAATCGTCAACGACGACGACGGCCTACAAGCGTTACGTACTCACCGTGCTGCATACGTTGAATTGGTACTTTGAGGAATTGCGCCCGGGATCCAAGTGAGTGATGTGATGATGATGATGATGATGATGATGATGATGATGATGATGATGACTATACACGTTTCTGTTGTTATGCATTGTGAGTAGGTTGAGTACATACTGCGTCAGTATTCAGGTGTACTCAACTAACACAAGCGATAAGATAGAATAATGATTATCAATGCAAGGGCGGGGTATACGGAGCTCGTTCCCTGAATATAAAAAAGTGTATACTTATGAATATAAAAAGGTGTACGCATATCAATCCCATGTGGGGTTTCGTCAATTCATATTATGTGATAAAAGTGCGGACTTTGATAATGTAAAATGTGAAAGCAACATGAAGTCAGTTTGCCTCATCAAGCAAAGTAAGCGCATATCAATCCTATCTTGAAATTTATTCGTCCAGAGGTCAAGTTAGAGTTCTGCTTTTTGAATCGCTATATTTTTCGATGATAGAACAAAACATGCAAGTTTCATTGCCTCTGATTTTAACTTGCAAAAATTATCAATAAATTTACTATGATTTACAAATATTTACATTTACACTTTGTAGGTTCAACTACAAATTCTCAATGTCTTCTTTGTCCATATGGGACTGATATGCGATAATAGACAGTGTACATTAGATTGATGCATAATTTGATTTTTTTTCTCTCCACAGTGCTCAAACGATTCTAACGATTGATTAGCTACTCAAAATTTGAACTCATTTGGTTCTTAGCTGAATTGGCACAAACCATTTGAAGTTTATATCGAAATTACTATGGGAAATCAAAACTTTTCGTTCTTTATCTTCTAGCCTTTTTCCAGCTAGGGAGGGGACTGTTAAAATTTTCTCTAGCTATTCTTAATGGGAAATTTCTCAGCTACAACTTGGCACAAGATCGTTTTGCAACCAAACGTCAATTTAAATAGTTATCAATTGTCTGAGAGATTGATAACCTTATGGCATGATCAAGCAGCTGTTTTGGAGGCAACATTGTTTTTTGCAGAACGACCTGGGGGGTACGTGCTGTCAAATCAGCCTACTGATCATTCTTGTATGAAATTGGTTCCAAGCGTAAACAAACCCTGTAGGATTCTTATGGCTTGTTTACGTTTGGAACCAGTTATGCGAGGTAGGCGACGATTGTTCGTATTTGAAAGCCGCCTCCCCCCTTGAGAACGACATGGTAGCCATGATTGATGTGCTTTATTCTACGCGCCTGAAACACCAATATTGCCTGCTGCACAGTTGATTGAGCATAATCATAAGGCATAAGTGACTTGAATCATTCAGAGCAGAGCGACATAGTGAAATTTTATACAGATATGAACAAAAAATTAGGATTCCCCATAGTAATTTCCATATAAACTTCAAATGGTTTGGGCAAAGTAATTTCTCACTAAATGAGTTCATATTTTGGGAGGCTAATCAGGACCCAATTTTGAACCGTTCGTGCACTGTGGAGTGATAATTTCAATTTTGCATCAGTTTAGTGTAGTGTGGTGGTTTCGAATTAGGAGGAGGGTGGGGGGGGGGGGGAGGCAAAACATTTTTTTAATTGAGAATTAGGTTAGACGCCAATATACTGAACACTATTATACCTTAGTTACATCTATGATTATACCGTATGGATTACTAGGTCGATCACCGTTTAACACAAACTGAATTTTCAGTCATACTACGGAGTATGTCGTCGGTATTTAGTATTTGTATGAAAATACAACATGTTTTTAAATAATTTATCCTATCGTCACTTTATCTGTCATACTTACTACCTCATCGTTCAAATTCACTGCAGCGATGCGGCAGGGGAACGGCCAGTGTTGCCAGAACAAGGATTACTGACACAAACCTTTGTTGGAAATCAAATATAGCTGCTACACGTGTACCGTTTTTATAAAATAAATATGTTAAGAAATTCAACGCTCATCTGGCTGGTATCAATTTATAGAATCATAATGGAACCATCACTAAAAGCTTGTTTCGTTTTTGACAGATTGAAAATGAACAGATCTTCATTCATACACAATGATCCAAGGGGGGGAGGTGGCTGTCAAATACGAACAATCGTCGCCTACCTCGCATAACTGGTTTCAAACGTAAACAAGCCATAAGAAACCTACAGCGTTTGTTTACGTTTGGAACCCGTTTCATACAAGAATGATCAGTAGGCTGATTTGACAGTACGTCCATAGAGGTAACTCTAAGACCACTGGGTCCCGAAGAAAATCATTATTATTTTTGGCTCACTCAGTACCAGAACAACGGTCCCAAGCAGTCCCAAGCTATTTCACTCACCCCTGCATGTTCTGCATGAATCCACACACCCCTGATGTTATCTGTCAAACTTTCATAGCGAATCAAAACAAACATAGTGTAGTAATAGAATTTCAACTAGAATAGGGTACGTTAATCGTTTGCTTGGGACCAATAGGCTACTAAAGTGGTGAGCCAATTTAAAATCGTTAGTTTCGTATTGATTGTTGGTACGTCCCTCCCCAGCAATGATCAGGTCTGAAAATGCGAATTTTTATTTCCGTTGTTTCCACTACATTCGTGCTGATACATGGCAAGGGCAACGTAATGAATTGTATAATGTTTTGCACCGCCGGGGTTAACCTCAATCGGATGACAGTTGGTCGATTTTTTTTCTTGGGTATATTTTCTCGATAATATTTCTGACTGCAATGAAATGTAAACCACACTTTCGCAATGTTCACTGCGAATTTCCTCTATAATTTGTCAAATTAAAATTAGGAATTTTTACAATTATTTTTTGCGAAAAAACTTCTAACAGTACCACTAAACTATCAAAAAGGTTCAGCCGATTAACACTGAGTTCATTTGTGACATCAAGCTGCAATACCTAATAGTCACCAGCAACGACGGAAGTGAAATACTCTTACTGGTAGACCCGCTTACCATTCATTCGCTTGCATGAATGAACACACATGGCGTGAATAAGGGGCCCAATGAAAAACAGAACAAGGCATCGTTGCGAGCAATGACAATTTGAAACAGTGTTGAGAAAATATCAAAATATCAAATCTCACCAACGCCCAAGATTACGCTTGATTTTCGTGGACAAAAATCAACAAGCAAACTACTGCGGTTGATTTTGCAAGCTGTGATATCGCAGCTCGGAATATCAAGCTAACAAAACTCACCAAACTGTGGTGAGATTGAGTTTAATAAATTTTGCTCTACACCCGAATGCAACCGAAACTTCCATAACGGCTTGCAGCAGTCCCTTCGCGTCTGCCATCGGTGAAGATCAAAAAGAGATAGCAAACTATGCTTTCTCGTTCTAAAAAAATAATGTGCAATGGAATCATTTTTGTGTCGAGTCAACTCACAGTTTGATTGTTGCCCATTGTGAATAGTCTCGCAATATCAAAGGAGCTTGTAAAATCAGTATCAAGTATGATATTTTGTTCCATTATCACGCGTGATATTGCGAGCGCATGAGAGCGGAAAAATATCAATTGATTTTTGATTTTGCCAACACTGATTTGAATTGACTGAAAATTAAATATTTATTATGACTGGATGGCCGGAACAAATCACAAGCTTTTCTTTTGTTACTCGACATACATACATACATTTATTTGTACAACATCACATTTAAGATAAGACATAATCAACAATAGTACGCCACAATACTCGGTTTGCGGCTGCCGCTCTCCATCCTCGGTTATGCCCCATGCTCGCTAGATCACGCTCTACCTAGTCCGCCCATCGTGCTCTCTGCGCTCCACGCCTTCTTGTGCCAACCGGATTAGTAGCGAACACCAACTTTGCAGGGTTGTTGTCCGGCATTCTTGCAACATGCCCTGCCCACCGCATCCTTCCGGCTTTGGCCACCTTCTGGATGCTGGGTTCGCCGTAAAGTGCAGCGAGCTCGTGGTTCATTCTTCGCCGCCACTCACCGTTCTCCTGCACACCGCCGAAGATCGTTCTTAGCACACGTCGCTCGAAAACTCCGAGTGCTTGCAGGTCCTCCTCGAGCATAGTCCATGTCTCGTGTCCATAGAGGACCACCGGTCTTATTGGCGTTCTGTACATGGTACATTTGGTGCGGGGGTGAATCTTTTTTGACCGTAGTTTCTTCTGGAGCCCGTAGTAGGCACGACTTCCACTGATGATGCGCCTTCGTATTTCACGACTCACATTGTTGTCAGCCGTCATTAAGGATCCAAGGTAAACGAATTCCTCCACTACCTCGAAATTATCCCCGTCTATCGTGACATTACTTCCTAGACGAATCCTGTCATGTTCGGTTCCGCCTACTAGCATGTACTTTGTTTTTGACGCACTCACCACCAGTCCGACCTTTGCTGCTTCGTGTTTCAGGCGGGTGTATAGTTCTGCTACCGTTCCAAATGTTCTTGCGATAATGTCCATGTCGTCCGCAAAGCACACAAATTGACCGGATTTCGCGACAATCGTACCCCGGCTGTTGAGCCCGGCTCGTCGCATTACACCTTCTAGAGCAATGTTGAAGAGTAGGCATGAGAGTCCGTCACCTTGTCGCAGTCCCCGGCGAGATTCGAATGAACTGGATAGTTCACCCGAAACCTTTACGCAGTTTTGCACACCGTCCATCGTTGCTTTGATCAGTCTGATCAGCTTCCCAGGAAAGCCGTTCTTGTCCATGATTTTCCATAGCTCTGTGCGGTCGATACTGTCGTATGCCGCCTTAAAGTCGATGAACAAATGATGCGTTGGGACCTGGTATTCACGGCATTTCTGGAGGATTTGCCATACGGTGAAGATCTGGTCCGTTGTTGATCGGCCTTCAATGAAGCCGGCTTGATAACTTCCCACGAACTCGGTCATTTTAGGTGATAGACGACGGAAGATGATCTGGGAAAGCACTTTGTAGACGGCATTCAAAATGGTGATCGCTCTGAAGTTCTCACATTCCAAATGGTCGCCTTTCTTGTGAATGGGGCAGATTACCCCCTCCTTCCACTCCTCCGGTAGCTGTTCTGATTCCCAGATCCTGACTATCATCCGGTGCAGGCAG